GCAATATAAAGGAAAACATTTTTCAGTACTGTCTCATGGGGTTTTTTTCCTTCTCAGCCTTTGAAAATGTCATTTTCATTAGCCTTTCACACCTGTGCCCTTCCCTGTCAGGTCACAGGTGTGTAATAACCCATTGCTGCTGTAGAACTCACTACAGCTGCTGACATCTATGTAAGGGAGTTGGTGTTGGCAAGATTCTTTGGGATTCTCCACCATGGAGCGGTCTATCCGCATACAAAATATGATTTCCAGTTGACTGCATAAACCTCTTGTCCCCAAGGGGAGCAATGAGTCACTCCGTGTTAGTGCCTCCCGTCCAGCAGCTACGAAACCACACGTCTCAAACGCTCCAGCAGATCTAAGGCAAGGTCCTCCAATGACTCATATGACAATGAAAGGAAGCTGTCTGATTTGATAACAGCAGAAATTCAGCCTGGGCTCACAGAGGTCCTTACAAGCTGTGTGTCACACGGAGTTGCGTTCAGCTGCAGGGAGATAGGCAACAATTATAGTACTCTTCTAGTCTGCAGAGGAGAGAAATAAAGCAGGGTAGAAGGGATTCGCAGGAGGCCACTGCCTAACAGACACGATTTCTAATCAAACACACTGTGCAGAGGATCCCAACTGACAGAGAATTGCTGTGCCACCTGCATTCCAGGCTTCATCCCACGTGTATGGAAATCCTAACAGCTGAGGTTACAAACCCCGGAAAAAACAACCCAAAAACTGTTACCTTAAGTCTTTTGGAAATCAGGAACTTCATTTCCTTGTAGTAAACCTGCCTAGGTACCAACATGTATCATGAGGAGGTGTTGTAGCACTTCTGCTAACACTGTCATAGCAGCTACTGCAGATGTGGAATTGCTTGTACATCTATATTTTGCATCTGCTTACTAGTGGTTTTCAGACAATTTTTTTTTTCAGAGACGGCTGGCTTTCATAGTGCTTTGGATTGCAAGATTCATAGCATGAACTTGGTGTAGTCCCCTTGCAGATGCCTTAAACTGGTTTTCATACAAGTTCACAAGTCTGATTCCTCCATTTTCTGCAACTTTTTCAGAAGTTCCAGCCTGGATTCTCTTTCCATCTCTTTTTCTGAGACTACAACTCAGGCTGATCAACACTTGACAAAGTGTTTTGGGTCCCGAGGTTACTCCTATGGCCATGGCTAGATGACTCAGGGGCAACTTCCTATCACATCTAACCAACAACCCATGCCAGGAAAAGGTGTTGACCAATTTGATTCCCCAGACTGACTCATCATCATGTCAGATGATCACGAGAAAAAGGGACTGGGCCAGCCCCACCTTAAACTGGTTTAGGTGCCCACAGCCTCACAACCATGGTAACACTAAAGTGTAAGCAGAGACACTTCTCCCTTTCTTGCTTGCTTGCCTGATTCTGCCCTCCATGATGACAGCACACGTTTTTGAGCAGGGGGACAACAATCTACATCAGAGGATGGATCCAGCTGAGAAAAACGATTCAACGACAAAACAAACAAACAAACAAAAAAACAAACAAACCCCAAAAAAACCACCAACCAAACAAAAAACCACCAAACAAACAAACAAAAAAAAACCACCAAGGAAGTATTTTTTCCAGATCCTCAGGTGCCTTGGTGTAGAGGGAGAGAAAGAAGCCCCCTCAGCCATCAATGCCACTGATGGAAGTCTACATAAAATGAGCATCCAAGTCTCAAACAAAGAAGATCCCTGGAAGCCTGGGACTGCAGCACAGCTACTGCAGCAGCAGCCTGGTGTCATGGAGCCTTAGCAGAGCAGCTGGAAGGTTTTGCTTGGCTTTTTCAAGAGTCATTTACTCCTCAGCAGATAGATGACAAATCAAGAAAATTAGAACACCCTAGGCATCAACTGGAAGTTCACTGACACACACTAATGGTTACCTGCCTTCTCACATGTCAGATTCACTCTTTATTCATGCAGGAGCCAAAGAACAGAATGCATTTTGGAATCAGAAAAAATTGCTGCTCTCAGTGATATCCCAGTTCATAACTGTGCTTTAATGGATCTTGACTCCACAGTTACCAGGAAGAAGATTTACTCATCACTTAAAACTGGAGGGGAGATGATGATCAGTAAAAATCAAGGTTTAGGATCTAGTCACTCTTATGGACACTTTTGGAGAAGAACAAGGTAGATAGAAGCACCTACCTTTAAATCATACTTCCCAGAGCTTGGATCTCACCTGAGCAGGAATACACGCACATCCATATAAACAGGCAGTGCTTTTGCCAAGGTGTGTTTGCTTTATCATTATTTTTCTCTCCAGTGTGTCACTACAGCTGAGGCTCATTGCAGCCTCATACCTGACAAACAAGGCAGACCTATGGGTGCTGCTTTCAAGGCCATGGGAAAAAAAGATGAGTATTTTAAAAGAAATGCAAGAGGGTCCATACACATATAGAGTGCTTTCCCCTCTCATTTTGTAGGGATTATCATGACCTTGCAGTGCTGTAATAAAGAAATTCATTTCACACTTGATGGTCTGGTTCTGCACAGCTCTACTCACACACCTGCACTGCAAATAAAAATGCTTAACCAGCATTTTAGTCACTAGATGAATGTTTTCCCTTTTCTGAGCTCAAACAAGGATTTAGAACGATTTACAGAGAGCAGCTGTATTGCACAGAAAAGCATTGAATACACGGAACTGCTAACAAGCAGAGGAGCCCTGTAACTTACTTCTACAGGTCTGCAGGGGTTAGGATAAGGGAAGTTACAGACACTTTGGAGAAGACTCCTGGTGAGAAGAGGAAGAGATCACAGCGTGATGAAATAGGGGCAGTTCCCTGTAGGGAGAAGCAAGTCAGGAGACAGCCTTGGAAGCAACACCAGACATGGTGTTGACCTGACGTGGAAAGATCAGTGAAGAAAACTCTTACTTCAGTCCAGCAGATGACTTGAGCAAAGGTTCAGCACACAAGGAGGCCCGAACTTCTACTTTGTGGGAAGACACACTGAGCTAGAACTCTGTTAGAACAGATCCTCCACTAGGACTTCATTGCAGAAGCCAACTCTGACCCAGCAAAGCAAAGAAACTGGCTGTGCACACTTAGAGAAGGATTTGCCTGCATGAATAAATCTGTCTGCAAAGCTGTGCAATGCCTTACCTTTCACCTCCTTTCAAGTCAATGGAAACCAGGCAAGAGAGGTTCCTTCTCTCTCAAAAGAGAGACCTAAAGCAGCTCAGGTGAACTGTGCCCTAATATTTCCTCTTCTCTCCACTGATCAAGCAAGCCTGGGGCAAATTCCTCCATCACCTGCAGGTGTCTAACCACAGGAATCTCACCACCACCACCTGTGTGGCTTCCAGCAGACATTTTATTCTGTTCCTAGAATTTTATTCCTGCAATGCTCCTGGATGTTTTAGCTGGCAGGCCTGCCTACCCAGCTGCAGGGTGAACCTGCAGCTGCAGTAAGCAGAGTGCATGCAGCCAACACTCTCTCCCTTCCAAGGTGGCTTTTGTCACCTTTTTGCCTGTCTGTTTTCACAGCTGCCACAGGCGAAGTGTCAGTTTGCAACAGGCTGTGGGGACAGGTTTTTGAGCCCCAAGACAAGACCCAGCTTCTGCAGTTCCTCACCTTGTGGGAGGCCACCCCATGTTGAGGGAAGCAGCTGGGACTGGCTGTGGAGCGGGGGGCATGTGGGACCAGCACAGGCCTGATGCTGTTTCAGCAGTGAGGCAGGGGACAGACAGAGTGGGGGGCTGACACCATGCATCCCATAACACTTAGTGCAAGAAGCAAGCGACAAATGTAGGGCAGGGGAGGTGGCGTGCGACCCCCCCTCTCTCCAAGCTGATCCTGTGCCATGGGATGTCGGGGTATGGCAGCTGAGCCGGGCTTAGCTGCCTCCCGGGATTTAGTGTCAGTGCGCAGCATGGGCAGAAATTAGCAGGGCTGAGGATTTACTTATTTACTTTTGGCAGATGCCAGGAGAGCTGGAGTGGCTCAGGGAAGAAAAGTGATGAAGGGTTCCTGTCCCTCCACCCATTTCTTCAATGGGAAAACTAAATCTTACCATTTAGAAATGGAAATTTTGATTTCTAGCGGTATGTAGGAAACCAGAGGCAGAAGAAATGCTGATTAAAAAGCCAATCTGTACCCTTTACGTGCTTGTTCTTTGTGCAGCGATGATTGCCCTGCCGGTGGCGTGATACACGTTTCCAATTGTAAAGGGCTCACGGCCATCGCAGAGCCGACTATATTCCTATCAGCATCAGACGGTGCAGTTACTGAAAATCCTCTCCAGTAATAACCGACTTTGCTGTGCTGCGGCAGAAAGAGTGACGAGCACAGAATTCACACCCAAAGTAGGGCTTTTAATTATTCACGGCTCCATATTCTCCAGAGCTATGCAAACCCGAATCACTCGCTTTGTAGATCCCCACTGCCGAAAACCTCCACAGCTGAACGAAGCCAAGGTCGCTGTGACCTTCCTCCCCCTTCCCGAGGCTGCACAGCCCCACGCTGTCCCTTTCCCTCTCGCCTGAAGCCCGGGGCTCCTGCCGGGTGCCTCCCCGGAGCCATCGGTGTGCCAGCCGCGCACGGCCCGCAGGGGCTCACCTGCCCCCTGGTGGGCTTTCCCGTCCCTGCGGCTGTGCCCGCGTCCCGCTCCCAGCGCGGCCGGGCCCGGGGAGGTGGGAGCCGCGCACGGAGCGGGTGCGCTCCGGGGCTGTGCACGGGGGGTGCCTGCGCACCGCGGGGAGGCTGTGTCCTTTGGGATGGGATGGGAATAGTGGGAAACGGAGGGGGAGTGCAGCGGCCGGGGGGGGCGCAAGTTCAGGGGGCACGGAGGGGCGGCGCTCCCGGGGGCTGTACCCGGGCGCGCGTGTTCGTGCTGGGGATTCTGTGCGCGGACGGAGGGGAGGCTCGGGGAGGGGCGGGCAGCGGTGTGCGGATGTTCCCTGGGAACATCGCTGGGAGGGTGGGAAGCGTGCAGGCCTGGAACCGGAGGGCCGGTGCCGGAGGCGGAGCCCCGCGGCGGGGCGGGCCCGGCGGAGGGGCGGCCTCAGCCTCAGCCTGCGCCTGCCGCTCGGGCCTGGCGCGCTCGGGCCTGGCCGCGCCGGGAGAAGCGGCCATGGAGGCGGCGGCGGGCGGCGGAGCGGCGGGCGGCATCGCCCTGCACGACTTCAGCGGGCAGCTGGGCGAGCAGCGGGTGCACTTCCACGCCATGCGGCTGCGGGACTCGCTCTTCCTCTGGGTGGGCGCCGCGCCCGCCCTGGCCAGCCTGGCCGTCGCCATGTGCAGCCCCCGTGTGAGTGTCGCTGCCGCGTCCCGCCCGGGCCCCGCGGCGCTGGGGGGCGGCCCCGCCGCCGGCACCCCGCGCTGCCGGCACTAAGCCGGGCCCTGTGCTGTGCTCCGCTTGCAGGACAGCATCCCGGTGGCCGCCTCGCTCCTGGGGGACCCCTCGGACACCGCCTCCTCCTGCCTGGCGCAGCGCTTGGGTAGGTGCGGGGAGGCGCGTCCCGCCGGGAACGCGCGGGCCGGG